AATTAGGGTTGGAGTCACAGAGAGCACACCGATGAGAAACAGAGTCGCCATCGAGCTGAAATCATAGAGATCTCCTATTGATTGTAACTCTCCAAGAGCAATCCCAGCCTGCATATCAAAATTGGAACATATTCAAACTCATCAAAACCGTTAAAATAAAAACCGTAGAGCGGAATGTTAAAAAAGGACCATATTCCAATACCCGGACAGTAACAAATGCAGCAGGAATCAGACCGATGAATGTAGCGAGGAAGAAGATATGGTAAGGAACATCAACAATTGGAGAAGCAACATTAATGAAAGTATTAGGCAATGTTGGTGTTAGTCTCAAAAACAACATATAATTCAGCAACCGATCTTTCCTTCTCGCAACCTAAATAAAACACAACAACAACAAAAACTCTTTAAGGATGATTCCTCATATCGAAAAACCGATTATGTTTTCTTTCTTGTTTTCCAAACCTGTTCTTGGAAGAAGACGAGCTTATCTGGCCAAAGCGATAAGATCAAAGGTCTACCGATAAGCTTAGAGAGGAAATAGCAAGAAGAAGCACCAGCAGTTGCAGTAGAGACAACAAGAGCCATTCCTTTATAAACTCCAAAGAGAGCACCAGCAAGTAAAGACATGAACACAGTTCCAGGAATCATAAACGTCTGCATAAATATGTAAACCAGACAATATCCAAAAAGAACTTGAACCGTGTAATCACTTGTGTATATCTCAAGATTATCTCTGCAACAAAAAACCAAACACCAAATTCTTCAGATTCTGTTTTAAACATTCAAATCATTGACCAGTATTAGCAATAATGAACCTAAAAGTATGAGCTTTAGCTTAGATTCCAGAATCCTAAATCGGAAGTCTAAGAACAAAAGATTGCATTTTTATAAAAACCCAGAAAGATTTAGAGATTCTAGAAATCAAAATCACCTGAGAATCTGAAGGTCTTCGAGATTGCGAGGGAGTTTGAGAAAACTGTAATCAGATTGAGGCATTGTGAGATAAACACAAACAAGTCCGACAAGGAACCCTAGAACGACACCGGAAGCTGTCATAACCTCTAGAAAGCTTAGATTACATGTCGGAGACGGAGATTTGGCCAGAGCAACGCCGATTGTTGTTGATTCACCTCCTTCTCTCTCCATCTCTCTTCTGTTCGATTCGTGAC